GACTTCGTGCAGTCATCATTTCTGTATTTTTGACACGGACGACCCATATGGGGATGAAATGACGTTCTATTGACGGCTTGGCCACTTCACCTCATTTGCCGAGATGAAATCTCCGTCCTGCGGTTAGGGCAAAGTATAGTCACTGGAAACTTACAACGGCATCAAAAAGATGTGAGAACTCACCTACGCCTGTCGTGGAAAAGGTGAAGCTGTCCGAAGAACGGCTCCATCCAAACCGGTTCTTTGCTTCCACTCTCGCCTCGTACTGGGAGGATGGTTCCAGACCGCGTATCAGATACGTCATTTTCTGGGTTGGCTTGCCGCTCGGAATGGGCGAGAGGATGACGTCGTTCCAGTCGCTCCTGGCACCAGGGTGTCCGTAGATCGTGTAAGAAGAGTACGTGTCATTGTCCTGAGGACAGATTCACTGCGTTACAATTTGTATCCGATATGTTCTGTACAAATATATTTTATTAACTAATTGACTAGGAAATAATAACTGTGCAGCTATCTAACTTCATTGTGTATTTTTGAAAAGCTGATAGTGTCTAGGTGGTCATAAAAGTCCTTGGTTTTTATTACAAAATAATGCTCATTATCGTGTTTACGAAAGTCAACCTCTGAACTCTATCCTGACCTTAAATCCGTTTAATTCCCTCACACCGTTCTTGAAGATCAATTTTAATATTTTTCTCCCAGCTTCAGGTTTTCGAACTAAAATTACATATTCATGTCTCATTTCCTCAAGCATGCTTCGTCTTATTTTTCTCCGATGGTTCCCTTATTTTCGTATGTTTACAAACGTTGCAAGGATATAATTTCGATTGACACACGAATTATGAAACATCATCGTTAAATTTAAGAACCACCTAACTTCCCTTTACCGGTGGAAATACATAACGATATAACTGAGCGGGTAGAATGTAAGACGGTTCTATGATGGTCTACGGGATAAGCCTACATGCTTCAAGCACTCTTTTGACTATACATGAAAGAGGAAAATATTTTGACAAATGAAAGTGCCTAGCTGTGCTGGATAAGAACACAAAGGATTCAATTAATATGTACACATTAATTATGTTGTTTCTTCTGTTCAGACTGGGGTTAAATTCATTTGATAACCATAAAACTGCAAAAAATTGACAATTTTACGTTGGCGCACTGCGTAAACAGAACACAAAATTATAAAAGTCCCAAGCTCCAGTAAAAATCACTTTCTGTTTCCGAGAATATTTAATTACCTATAAGTATCATTTCACGGATGTAATCCACTGTTATGGTTCTTATTAAACGAGTTGATGTAATTTTTAACGTGCATTTTGTGGTTTTTGTCAAACGTTATTATTCGAAATGTAATTAATTTTATTCAAATATCAAAACAAACTAAAAACTCCAAGTATTAACAAAATATAACTGTTACAAAATAACTTGCAATAAAATAATGAACGCATCCAGTTTCATAAAATATGGCCAACATATTCCAAGGTTTTTTTTAAAGGCACAACAAACAAAAGCAACATATTTTAGCCTGCGTGTCTGTATTTCCTCCCACAAGTCCTTAATGAAGTCTAACTTCAGTCCGGCGGTCTATTTTTATATTTCCGTTTCTGGTGATCCAATTATTAAAATACTACATCTTTCAAATAACATTATAAACATTACCAAAAACTGTACAGTACACTTCCTACACACTATTTGCTCCTAGTCAATCAGTTTCAAGGGAATTTTAGAACGAAATGTGTTAGGATTTCAATTTTAAGCCTACCTCATAAATAAAATGTTATGACTACATTCTAATATTACCAACTCATACTTATAGATACTCCTAGGTGATATTTAAGACTTCCGGGTTGTAGCGCGGTGCTACAGCAACCCAGAAAACAACCATCTTCGTGTTCACCGCCATGAGAACTTCAAATCCTACTTTAAGACTTCCATTTGTAATAACGCGAAGTGCTTTGAGGAAAAAGATCACATATATTATAATATAAGTTACATAAAATAAGGGGGATGAATAACATATACTTCCAAAACACTTTTTTTTCCCCTAGAGAACCCTCTAACGAATACCTTCATCATTAAAGGCTGGGGGAGAAGTTGGGGGGTGTTCAAGCCCCTTCTCCTCCATTAAATTGAACTGTACGCACTCAGGCTTCAGTATTTATTCAAGAGCATAAGATAGCACAGTAGTTCATTCCTATATCTCAGTGTGTCAGTATCTCATCGTAACAGTAAGAGGGTTGATACTGCAGGGAATGAAGCAAGGAAGGTACAGGGGAGGATTTGCCACCACATCAGTGCAGTGTTTAATGCTCCTACGTACACAGTGATAGTACCAGTAATGGAATGAAGAGTTTCGTTACATAATAAGCCAGCTAATATCTTGTATGTGTTCTGAAGACCTGGTGAATAATTAATGGCTTTTAAGGTGAACATTTTGGGTCTTCGCCTCCCTTTGCTTCCTGTTCTTATGCAATATCATTGTTCTATACCAAGACAAGTTTCAAGACTCTATTCGGTTGGAAAGCGTTTCTAAGGAACTGATTTATGTTGACAGGTTGTTTGTACAAACTGAAACGTCTTAAAGTAAATATCTCATATAACGCTACAAACTGTGATAAAAAATATACCTTCTGTGAGAATATAAAGTTTGAATTTGAAGTTTACGTAGTTGTTTAGAAAATTCAAATTAAAAAGTATCGACTGATAAATGTTTTCTATTGTATTAGTTTAAACAATATTAATCCATGATGCATATAGTCTGGTTACTGACAGCGTCGTTAAGTAACACAAAGGCATACAGAGAAAGTTAAATATTTACTCAGTAAATAAAATAACAAACATTTTCAGAAAAGAGAGATTACCCCATTTGAAGGCAACCAAATAAAACCACAAATACGGTAATGACATTTAAATTTAGACGAAAGTAACCAACAGACCTAATGTAGTGAGACTTTGTTACGCTGCAAGACGATCTTAAGGCGGCGAGGGTCGAATGGGTGTCTTCTGGGACGGACGACAAAAAATATGAGTAGCAAATACGGCTCGCAGTAGCGAAAAAATCTCCCCGGACCCATCTCAAACATTTCATTACACCTATGAATATGAAGTGTGTTTCTCATTTAAAAAAGATTTTTTCTGTATATTGAAGAGAACACAAAATTTCCTAGAATTCATAATGACTTGATCGTTATTTACTGTATTTAGAATGTTTCTACGTGTTATGCAACTGACTGGAATTTCTGCGAGATCTAAGGTTCTCACAGTGAGACTCGTAGAAATATATAAACGTTTCTGAAGTGTTTTCTGTTTCCTTCATCAGGTCAATCGCCCTGATGACAGTAATCTTCATGTTTCTTACATTATTTGACGACGTTTCCAACAGCATCACTCAGTCATATAATATTGAGTGGGAGGAATTGATCGTGGCCTGTTTAACGATACTACCAAAAGATTCTGTTGGAGAAACTGGGAAGAACTACGAAAATCTTCCGTCATTGAAACTGGGTAAGTCTCGAATGCATGCGCAGAGCATTACAGTTCTGTCTGTCTTCTATAAAGGTGGGTGAACATCATACGACGAATTATGAGACCCGTTTTAGAGACAGCCTCAAGAGATGTGCGTGAGAGTCATGATAATTACTCTCTTACTTACAACAATTTGCCGAACATACACCAGCAATCTCTTTGCTTTGATCCTAATTACAAGTACGCTTCCCAATTAGAGACAGTGTAACCTTTTTTAAAATTCATTTTTATTTCCCTTCTACTTTGAACTCGTGCAAAAGCGACTCTGTACTTCGAATAACAGACTCGTTTCCCTTAAACTCACCCCCCCCCCCAACGAACAACTCGCAGAACTAAAATTTAAGCCGGTAGAAATTCCCTGAATAAAGTGAATTTTCAAGCTAGCTCATAAAGAAGTCCAAAGGACTGGATAGCCTAGAGGCAGAAGAGAAAACCTATGATAATTAAAAATGTCGCAACTTCCTATCATCTTTTGCCTTCCTTCACAAAATTCTTAGCTTAAGTAGAAATTAATTTAATTACTTTGTAATTATACGTTAAGCCAGTATAGGCTTCTTATTAATTTTATAAGCAAATAATAATAAGAATAAAAACCCCAATAAAAAAGAATGTCCTGTTTGATGTCATAACTTCAAAAATGCAACACAGATTACGTTCAAAATATTTAACTGAGTGTACAAATAATGATAAATTGCAATATACCCTGTAGACTTTGCAGGTCGTCATTAAATCTACAATTAACTAAGTATATAATGGTAGAACCCGTTGGTACTAACTAACTAACTAGATGGCTTACCGAACCCGAAGGGTCATCACCGAATCAACCAAAGCCCTCTGCCCCCCCCTGTCCTGGGCCAACAAAATCCAGTTTCCTTCAACTCCTATCTCCCACAGATCCCGCCTGACATTATCCTCCCATCTACGTCTAGGTCTCCCCAGAGGTCTTTTCCCCTCAGGCTTCCCAACCAATACGCGGTGCAAACCTCTTGTCCCATCCATGCGCGCTACATGCCCCGCCCATCTCATTCTTCTCGACTTAATCACCCTGACAATACTGGGGGAGGAGTACAGATTTTTAAGCTCATCATTATGCAGTTTTCTCCATGTCTCATCGGTACAAAACTGCTAATATCTAGCTTCGCAAATTGGCACAATTCTAGACTAGTTGCGTCCTCAAACCCTAATGTCACCAACATCCCTCTTGAAGACATCCTTCGAGATCCTTCTCAGCCACTCCTTGACTTTGCGATGCTAAAACCAATGCGTACGAGTGAAGATGTTTTTCATTACGTAATAACCCAAATCGGTCACGAACTATGAATTAACTTTTTATGTCCGAATACCTTGTTTTCAGATATATATAGATTATGTCCTTTCATAAAAGTATGACACATCGTTCACAACACATAAAACGATTTAAAATGTCTGTTTTTGGCCTATATTTTTATACGCAAGACTCTTAACTTCGAAAACTGAGAAAGGATACATACAAACACGTCAAGAAATAATATATCTATGCACAAGAGACATAAAATTAACAACTCGGACCAGTAAAGCAATATATGACAGATGGTATAAAATAAACATATAAAACAAATAAGAAAATCAATATTTATGAAGCAGCGGTATGATCAACGTAAGAGATGAATAATCTGCTTCCTGCTAAATTTAATTTTTATAGCAAATCGCCTAGTGTACCAAGTTAGCAACATAAAATTATGGGAGGATAAGCTAGATACTTTAGAATTACACGTAGGAACCAACTGAAGCTGACACCCCTCTAGCGCGTGCTTCGGACGGGTCCATCTCATACGACCAAAATCAGACCTTTGCGCAAGCATCAGCACTTCTCGCTCGGCCTCTACTGACCTACGTTTCATGTTCAATATTGTGGGTTTTCAAAATAAATATTATCTTTGTACTTAACACTTCACGTTGCCAGTAAGACGTAAGATGAAGCAGATACATAACTCCAATTTAAACCGTGAAGATTGTACAATATGTTCCCCTCAAAACTTGCTACCAATTTACAAGTCCACACGACGTCACAACCCAGAAGACCAATCCCAGCATTTTTACCTCTGACATAATCCAGATCTCACAAACTCCAAATATTTGTAACCTAGACACTAGAAGATGGTAAGTTTTAACTCCCAAGCATCGACCAGTTTAACTCCGACGAAGAAACTCCTGGTACCAGTTAGTTTGTAGAATGGGTGAGACTCAGAGCCGGACAAAATGATGTTGTCACTGCTGGAAATCGAAGACCTGTCCAGATCGTATGAATGACTACACCCCATTGATCTGTCCCTGCTAATTTTACTTAAAATTTGGCTCTTATTGACTGTAAGAAGAAAGGAAATCCGAATAGAATAGCATCATCCACAAATTGAATTTATACTCTACTAGACTTTTACGTGAAATGTAAACGTACGCATGCAGCTCTGAACATTTACCATGATATTGCGTGTGCACTTAATTCTCTGTCACCATGTAATTATCAGTAGAAAGGCGTCGTTAAACATCTTTACAAAAGCCTTAATGATAAGAATCAGTCTTGTCGCTCTAGCGCCATATTTCATGCTTTTGTTCTGAGTTTACATTCAATGAATTTTAGTTTTTATCTGTATATAAAATACAGGTCTCGTCTCATGCTTTAGCATTTTCGTGATAACTTCATTTTGAAGTACGACTTTACCCATTTTAACCTCTTACCCTTTACGATCTTAATCACCAATTCCTCCTCTCTTTATTCTCATGAGTAATTATAGGCTACACAGTCTTAACCCCGTCCCCCCTAAACAATTTCTGCCCCCTTTCCTCGAAAACCGTTGAGTTTGTACAGAGATTAAACAAAGTAGCTTATACTGGTTGTGCAAAATCTACAGGGGGACATCGGTAGGATAAGCGAGAATGGAAATGTTCCTAAGGTTCAAAATGCCTGTGGAGAGGAGGTTAAAGTTATGTAAGTGATCATATAATTGACCATTAAGCATAGCAACGTCCGATAAGTTCGGACCGCGTAATTTGGGGATTTATCTTCCTGCTGCTTGGGGAAATGTGTAGCATGAGGACAAGGGTTTACTCTAACCCCGTGCGTGTGAAATGCAATATCACAGTTCGCTTCATCAGCCCATTTAACAGATTTAGGTACGAAGCGCCTTTCATAACGGGAAATTATATCGAGTCTGTTATTAACTAACCGAGATGAGAGAAATGTTACAAATTATATTAATTTGAATTAATAAATGAATTTACAAGATAATTAACCAACGAAAAAATTTATTAATGAACTGGTTCCGTCCTGTTGCCTTACTTGCTAAATTTATAGTTACACAACCAATCAAATTATTCCTCTGCTGAAAGCAGGAAATCGATCCATAACCGTGTTCACAAAAGCCTGCCTTGCGACTTTATCCTGAGTCAGCAAAGTTTTCTAATTGTTTAGGATTTATTTTATTCCCTCATGTCTACAACATGTTCCACTCACGTATTTTTAACAATATACGACGAAAAATGATTACTCATTGTGTATAGTAAATAAAATACTATCAAATTAGTATTTGTGTATTAAATTTCATATGTAGTAACGAACAATTCAGGACGAGTTTCTCGATATATAATTTTCTTTATCTTTCGGTCATGAAAACCATGATAAGCAAACAAGTTTTAGGACGTCTTTATTATTTCATTTGTTACCCTCTTTCTACGACGCTAAATACAAAATTTCATGGATGGTCATTCACTAGTTTCAGAGTTAAAACATGTGGACAGACACGACTTAGAGAGGTATTTTTTTCGCAAAAACAGCATATAATTTTGTAAATCTAAATTAAAAATGTCGTTCTTGAAGAACTGCGTCCATTTTCTATTTCTCACAATGTGTCAAATATTACCACATGCTCAATCGAATATGATTTATATTTACACAGTATATGCAAAGTAAAAACAAGTGAATTATATAACTTAAATTACTTATATTTTTCGTTAAAAGGTTTGTTCGATCAGTTACAATAATAATCAAGAGACTTATGTGAAATTAAATTACTCCCGTTAAAAGTTCGTCTGGGCAATTATTTGAGCTTAATTTACCTTTGAAATGAATTTATGATTCTGCCTGACATTTTGCCTGTCGTGATGTGTTGATGCTTGCACTATCCTTATCTTACCACCACAATAAGCCATTGTTCTCTCTCAGTCATATGTTATCTTGCTCACAATCTTCTGTTTCGGTCAAATGCATACACGCATGTGGGCTTCATGCTAATTTCTCACTGAAATATCACTCCATTTGTTATGCTCGTTCATTAAGGAGATATTAATTGAACAAGGGCTTCATGAATACGTAAACATAACTTGAGTTAATAACTTATTGTCTGAGTGCTGTACATTTCTCCCTTGCTACGATAAATGAGTATAAGTAATTAGAAGTTCAGGAAACAAGACATTTTTTTGACAGTCGTTACAAATAAGGTACATTCATAAAAATACCCTAAAATATTATTATATAATTTAGACTTAAACTTAAAACGAATGCTACTTTTGATGTGTTGTGCATAATACGAAAAATAGGCTCTTTCGACTTACAGCTCTTTACTCTGGTGATCTATCATAAGAACTCTTACATAACAGAGAATTTAATTTCTTAAGGGGGCAATCATTTACAGCTAATAACTCGGCAAGCGATGATTAAATCCACTCTATACAATTTTTGGAAGACTGGTAGCTGCATTTAAAGAAAGGTAGAAAATGTAACACCCGGTGACACAATTAGCATTCATAATAGACACGTGTTTACAATGACACTAAACAAATCGCGAAAGAATTTAAGCCTTTTCTTGACAGTTTAAGCCTCAGAGAGACGTGACCTGTGTCTAATCGATATCTATTTTCGCATATTCCACAAATACTGTAAACAAAGTACATAACTTATGAAATTTCTACGAGGCGACTGCTCTGATTATGTAAGCAGTATGCATCACTGAAACGTCGGTAAATTTCTACCACATGTGCTCTGATTATTTAAGCAGTAAGCATCACTTAAACGTCGGTAAATTTCTACCACATTATAAGGCGCAACATCTCAAAAAAAAAAAATTCTTCAAGTACAGAATTTTGTAGACGTTTTCTTGAAGTAATTATCGTATATATAATGTGGAGTCAATGTACTCACCCTTCTTGACTGTCGTCGATTATTTGGCGGGGGCTGTAGTTGCTGCTGTGGAGACGGTGGCTGCTGGTGGCCCGGTAACGCCTGGGGCGAACTCACTGGCAACTTGCGGAACGAAAGTTTGAACTCCTCGATGGGAGTGTAACTGTTCACATTCCAGCTGATGTTGTACATGTCACGGTACTTCCCCCGCGGCTCGCTCACGAAAATGGCGGGGTTTGGCCGTCCTATACCCAAATATACAAGATGTTATTAGTGCTCCGAAGGATTCTACAAGCATCACGTCTGTAAATCCTATCTAAACCTCGTTTCCAACATCTCATTCTGGAAAACTGACATGGGTAGGATCTATCAAGCAGTTTGTGTTGTCGTTTGTTTGATATTACAGATATTACACTTAATTCTTTTATGATTGGTTTTCCCCGAAGCTAAAAACCATCTTTTTTGACATTTCCACAGCAACTAGTAATTCTCAGACAGGCCAGACAACAAGAAATTACTGAAGTTCTTTTATAGTGACACTGTTAGATGTTAAAAAGCAATCCTAACAAACAAAACCAATGTCTCCAAGCGATACATCTCATTCATTGCACGGACACGATTAACTACGTTCCTTGTAGCGCAGGAATCGAATGAGAAGGAGATTTTGCATAATGAACTGGGAGGATATGGAAGTGGTCGTTGTCTATTTCAATAAGTCTTGGAAAGGCTGGGTTAAAATACGAAATGGTCTTAATAGCAGAGTTTCAGATCCGAAATAGAACAGAAATAAAAATAGATCCGAACTTAACCTTCCAAACTCCAAATGTGGTTGTTATTCTTTCAATTGTCATGAGGAAACTGCGAGAACAAGAAATGAATACAAAATTTTTGTTTAAAAAGTCACTGAAAGATATCGCTAACGAGGTCACAGTTTAGATCTGAAACGACGTTTAAGATAGTATTAGATAACGTATTATGAATAATGCAGTCGGTTAGGGTTGAAATAATCACAAACATTTTTATGATAATGATGATGGACACTCAAATGATAATTCTAATCTATTTTATATGACTTCCGTTAAGCTACTATGGTACCCATGTGAAAGTATCAAACGTCTAGTTTTTAACTCAAAATAAACTTCTAACTTAATTCCACCCTTTCTAGGAATTTCCTAGTTGACCAACGGCTCTGTGCTTACAGCTATTTGTTCTTCTCTTCCATAAAAATTCTTTTGTTCATGTACAATAGGAGAACGAGTTCAGTTTATAAATTCAGCCTATTTTCACTTTCCTGTTATTCATTAACCTTAATGAAACGATTAATCGGTGTATTTAATTCCGCTAATTTTCACACTATCATAAATCTTTTCCCGTGTAACTCACAGTGGCAAGGCGCTGGATTGTTATTCTGAAGACAGCCAGTTCAAATATTAGCCCGAATACGACTATCGTGCGTGTGTCCTGACTGAGGTTACTGTTGTTGTCTGTCTGTCCACATTAGTGTCAGAATGCCACCCAAAAATTTGCCACGCCAGTCTCATTTCAAATCCCTGCCGAAATAAAATTCACAATTTTCACATCTAATTCCATACTATATGCCCCCTACAGTTAAAAAAATAGTAAGGGAGAAATTATTGAGATCATGTTTTACTTTATAACGCGGAAGGGAGTCTGATTTTATTCAATGAACGGGATCTGTGAAATAATAAAGTTTTGTAAAATATTTCACTAGATTTACATTAACCGCCTGCATGCTAAAAATTTTAAGTTTCAAATAAACTATCTAAGTATAGTACAATCAATATTAAAAGCTGGTACTCGATCAGCCTTTTATGCCAGCCGAACGAATATTATCGTATTCAGAAAGGGCACCATTGGATTTTATCCAGAACCATCATATCCAATCCACACCCTCGGATTCTCAATCTTTAAGATCCATTTCAATGCTATCCCCAACATACAGCTTGGTCTCCTAAGTAGTCTCTGTTCTTCATTTTAAAATTTTGTATGAATTTATCATTACCATCATGAATAGTACATACATTAATCGTTAGCTGATCGTTCTAATAAAGGCTTATAGAAAAGTATATAATTTAAGCATAAAGTGTCAGAAATAGCAAGATTTTTTTCTGTTCCCTGAAAATGGAACACCCTGTATTAAAGGTATGGAGACGTTGAGAGAGTATGGTCTGTTTTCATGTGATACGTTGTGTTCGTGGCTTGAAAATAATTTATTTATTCAAGCTTCAATCGAGAGGCGAATGTCTGATATTCTCAATTTTTGAAGAAAAAAGAAAAGGTTTCTATTGCACAGAAAATAAAAATCACAGCTTTACTACTCGAATCAAAGCTTACTCTCAAAGGGAGATGATAAATGGTGAATAATGAATATAAGAAGAGGGAGAAATTAAATATGGAAAAGAAGCGAAGAGGAAAGCCTACGGGGTTCAGATGAGACACAATTATGATTTCAGCCTTCATCATTCCAAGCGCCTTCACCTTTTCTAACTTCTTGTTTCCATAAATAGCTGAGATAAATTGATTTCTTGTTTATCTTCTTTCTGCACACCATCAACATGGAAATCAAGTTCGTAAGTCGATTTTCTCCCCTTCCGTACGAATCACAAAATATGTTAATAAATTATAAACTCTACAAAGTTTTCTTCTATGTATCACCCGAATCCCTTACCCTTTTTCACTCACTAAATGTTTTTCAAAACATAAAAAAATTAAATCAATGCAAGAGAGAGCTCCAGACGTTGAAATGAGTGTTGATATTTCCACTTTATACCTATATAAAGTATGAATTTTCCTGACTCAACCCCTAAATCATTACACCAACTTTCAAAGGAACTTTCGTAATAAATTACCATGTAGCATATATTTTTTTTCCTAAAAAATATCCCTAAATATTCTGAGTAAACAGTTACGATACAACGATAATGTTTAGTTTCAAAACCAAACTGACATTAGTGACACTATTAAAAATGTGTATCGCTGAGAGTCTAATTCTACTGAGCTGGCGCGCAGTCCTTCTTGAAAAGCACGCTCAGCAAGGCAATAAATTCTGCGCATTTTATGGAATTCATACCTTAAGCCATATAAATTCAATCCACACTCTAAAATAACAAAATCGTTAAGAATCATTTCAATATTATTCTGTTATATACGCCCAGGTTTCCTGAGTGGTCTCTTTCCTAATGGCTTATTAATATGTTTGTGAATGTCTGCACGTGTTAATTTGCGTGCGCACAAAACTGTTTGTAAAAGTAAAAAGTAAAGTTTGTCCCACTATGCGCCATGTAGGCGTTTGGGGGGAGTGGAGGTATAGCTCCTCTCTTCCTTGACCTCGGCACTGGATGGGGGTGAGTGGTCAGCATCACGCCCCGGCCGGATTTACCCCCCGGAAAGGACCCCGGTACCCATTGTAGAGGAGGCTGGGTGGGCCCCAGAGCCGGTCTGGACGCAGAGGCTAGAGGAAAAATCCTCTGCCCCCGTCGTCCAGCCCGTAGCTAGTCACTATACTGACTGAGCTATCCCGGCTCATCAATAATTCTTGTGATATCATTAATAAGGAATCTAGGAAACAGATGGAATAGCGAATTAATCTGAAAGGACTGAGGAAAACCAAGAAACATCTTTGATCTCAAATAAGCAAACAAACAAACTATTAACACTATAAGCTTGTTTGTTTGTTTATTTTATGTTCTAATACACTACCCGGTATGCAAAGTTTTAAGATCTGTGATTTCCCACAGTTCCTCAAGGAAAATGCAGAGAAAATACCTTGTGTGATTTCCCACAGTTCTTCAAGGAAAATGCAGAGAAAATACCTTGAAATAGGCCAATAGTACTTCCTTCTACTCCATATTCAATTCATTATCATATATTTTTGAAGTTATATAATCAGACAATTAAAACTTTATTAACTTCATCGTAAATAAGAAATAAATTACTGTTAGCAACTAGTGCATAAGAGTGTATAATGGATATATTTATCCCAAAAATTCTAGCTTACTTTCTGTAGTCATGAGTCCAGCAAATATTTTAACACTGTAAAGGGGCTGTTACTCACCAGATAACTCCAGTTTCTGGCGGGTTTTCCCAATCTGGTTGTCCGCCATGCAGGTGTAGTTAGCAAAATCTGACGCCTGCACTTTTCGGATGATAAGAGTGTGTCGACTGCCACGGGACTCCATGATTCGCCTCTCCGTCGTGTCCAGCCGCATGGTATCCCGGTACCACAGCACCTGTAATTATACGAAATGTTCACACAATCATAAAATCGTATACGAACTTTGTGCACCACGGTTTTATCAATCTACCTACCCCTAATAAAGCATCCGTTTAACTGTACGAGTGGGTCGTTGGTGCGATGCGGGAAAAAATTAAAATGAACTTCTGACGTTGGCGACTCTGGTAGCAACAAACACAAACGAAACTGTGGTGGTGAGTTTGGTGAGACCCTGAAGTCAGGTGACTGATGTTATGTTGGTGCTTTTGGCAATAATCTGACTTCAATAGCGGTATAAATGCTTTCATATTTAATTTACTTTTATAAATTTTCTACTTATAGCGCGATTTATAGTTATAATGCTGCAATTAATTGTATTACTGTCCAACACAAAAAGACCAATTTCCGTCAACTTTGACGTTGTTTTATTAATAATCATACAAAATCCTGTTTATAACAGACCTATTATTACTATCGATGAGGCAACACTTGATTAGGACCGAAGTTAAATTCGCCTTACAAATTTTAGTCTAGAATTCCAATACCAGATTTCATCAACTGTGGAGTTTCGGATATGAAACAAGAGGACGGGCAGATGCATACATCGATCTCATTATGTATTCTCTTCAAGTTGTTTCTGCAAAGACTACAAAAAGAAAAGAACATTGCGAACATCTACCTGCTTCATGCTTATCTACCGCCAAATTATATTCCTTTGTCTTGCATATATTTCGGTACTTTGATAATTAACTGTTATTTCACAACTTCGAATGAATGTTAATGGTTCCATTATGCATTGTCACCGGTCCACATAAAATATGAAGTTGGTTCTTTTTGAAGAGCTATGGGTTAGTTAAACACTGTCTTAATATAAATTTGCATACTGTATATATATATATATATATATATATATATGTATAGATAATAATTGAAGAATACAAAATAAGTCATGGAAACAAACGAATTACAGAAATTACTGCCAAAATTCAAAGACTATCACAAGTCTAGCAAGGGGGAGAAACATAAATATATTTAATATAATTCAAGACAAACATATGAATCTTTGTCCCAGTTTTTATCTTTTTTATTTTTGAAATAATACTTTTATCTATACTGTTAGTTCTCATACTTCTCGAGAGATTCGCAGAAGAGGAAGATGCAAATGTTCGTGGATGAAAGGTTTGCGTCTGTGTGCCTATTGAATCAGTTATTCTGGAAACCCCGAGGAAGAGGCAAAACACGAACAGGCTCTGAGGAAATGAAGCGAAAAGGTGAATGAAGAAAGTTAAAATAAGAAAGAGAAAGAAACCAATAAAAATGAGAACACTGAATTGAGTGTGAATTTTAAAAAGGGGGAAAGGAAAAAAGTATGGAGAAGGAATAAAGAAGGTAGCACGAACAAACGAGGGGGCAAAAGTACTGAAAACGAAAGTGAGAAGAACTGGTATATAAAAGCGTGCATAAGAAGGGAAACAAATATGATAGGGTTGAACGTCTTTGCAAAAGCGGTGTATGTATAAAAGTACTTTTTCTTAAAATATAAAATCAAACACAGTTAAGACATGTAGGAAATGGAACAGCTTACATTTTAACAACTATCACTTACAGTGCCTGTTACACTTCGTAATAAAGAGAGGGGGAAGATGAGACTAAAACACAGGACATGGAATTGAAAGTATGACAGTAGAAAATGAATCAGCAACTTTAGATATATGAAGTTGTATCTGCAAGATTCAAAGGTAATAAAGTCAATGTTAGGAAGACGCAACACATTAAAATGAACGAAAAATAAATCGAAAAATATTAACCCTTTAAAGTACAGTTCTAAATATACGTACCACCTAATTTAGTTATCACTTCAGCCCACAGAGTGTAGAAGGTACTTACGCGTTTCATACGATTTTCAGAATAAAACTAAAAAAAATCCAAATGTTTGTGTTGCGGTACGGACTCATTTAGACAAGCTTCAGTTTCTATCCTTACCAGAAGGACGAACGGGCACTGCCTGGGGACCTTCTAACTATATGATTCTCTTCCCCCCCCCCCCCCCACTGGTTAATTAATTATCAGAATAAAGAGCGATTATTTCCTTAAACAGCGTTAACCAATTGATCTTTTCAATGGTGAAGTGTGGTGTTTTCTTCGCGGTACGGACTGAATTCTTAAAAGTAATACAGACTACAGAGGAACACCAGCAATCCGAAATTCTGATTTCAGTATCTTCCGAATTCCATCTCAGGAATGCTCCTGCATATGAGAGCGCCCTCCCAATAATCTTCAATAACTTCCTAGTCACCCTCCTCGGTATTCCAAATCATGCGTAGGTCCTTCAGTCACACTGACATATTGCTCTGGAATGCCAGAAGCGTCAAAACAAAACAATAAGAATTATTAAATTATTTAGAAACAAATAAATAAAAAGTAAAATTTTATTAAGGGTGACATTTTATAAAAAATGGCGGCATGGCAAACCCGGAAAATATTTTGATGTGAAAACGGTAAACATGTAATATCTGAAAGGTGATATGTTATAAGCATCCAAAAAATCTTGTCCGATACTTTTCTAAATGTTTTGGTTTTGGTACACTGCTGCCAATAAGAAATTGTAAGAATCATAGGAAATTATACAGGGCATGGAAGCACGGCAGAATTATATTCTTACAGTACTTAAAGAAGATTAGGACAATTATTGTAATCTTATGGGAGCAATTTGTATACACTCAACCGACAAAACTCCATTCGTTTCCAAGGTATATTTTCATGATAATTTTCAACTTTCACTCTTCAAAGCGTAAAAACAACTAACTCTGACTATGAAGGGATGACAGGTGGCATTTCTCTTCCATCATCACGCTGTAACACCATAAATATTCATAGCAGAAGGGGTCGTTGTATCTGAACAAGATATCTCGCGGACAGCACAAAAAACTTTAAACTCGGTATCTGTAACACTTCGGAAGTTTTAGTGTGTTAGGCCTAACACTGACAGTGTTTTATATGAACTAGTGATGCATGGTGAAAGACCTTGATAACAGTCAGCAAATCCCTGTAATTCAAGGAGCCTGAAATGTTCTTATCGTGGTAACAAAATCACACCAAATGAGCATATCATAACACATACGATTCCAGTCCTCACATCACATTTCTCGAAATTTAATTTTAGTATTGTCTTCCGCCTGATACTAGGTCCCACAAGGTTCATCAATCATATTGAGATTTTTCGAGAAAAAAAACGATGTTTTAAAGACATGAATTGTGCAATTTTTTCCAGCTTTTTGTTACAATTGGGTTTTAACATACTGCACTCTTCATATTTACAGCTTACCCTAATTAATTTCAGACACATTACTTTTGTTTCCTGCTGTGTTATTTTCTCGAGGCCACATGCGTGTACGTGTTTAAGTCCATAGTTTCGATTTTCGCAACTGCCCTGCTACAAAATATATATCTAATGGCAATTGCTTTATACGAAAGTAACAGAAATTAATTACATGAATGCCTTAAAGAACAATTTATTACTTCAATTTAATGACTTGTAGCTCCTTGCTACTAATTACATGCTTGAAACAGGTCGGAAAAGGGCAGGGAGGAATAATGTATAGCGGGATGCAAAACTCTGAAAACAGGGGCACATGTAAGGGAGTCAGTGGCGCCTACATTTTAGGTTTATTCGGTATCCAATCACCTGCCTAACAAACAATGTATCTATCGTGTGAGGATACTATATACAAATTTATTACGTAATGTCCTTAATTTCCCAGTTAGTGCATCCATTTGGGTAAATATATTTTCATGGGGACTAGGTTTTTTTCACTAGTTAAATAACTATATCATACAAGCGCACAAATAAACCAACGAACAAAAATTTCAGTTTTCTAATGCCTATTTTCGTCTGTAGAATCAGAACATACGTATATGGAAATACCAGGTGATTCAAAAAGAACTTTACAACTTTCAAAGTGTATAGAAATTTATTCATAAGGCTTACAGAATCGGTTGAGGTGTCATTTTGTAGCAAACACTACCTCACAGAAGTCCGGGATTTCCTCAATAACCGTTTCCCAGGTCGGTGGATTGGTCGAACAGGGTCGATAGCATGGCCACCTCGTTCTCCAGATTTGACACCTCTCGATTTTTTCTTATGCGGTTTCATTAAAGATCGTGTGTATGTTCCACCCTTACCTGCCAATCTCACCGAGCTCAAAGCTCGAATCATCGCCGCAATTGCAGAAGCGACACCGGATATGCTGGATCGTGTTTGGCAAGAAATTTATTTCAGGTGGGATGTCTGCAGTATCACCAATGGCAATCACATCGAACCAAAATGACTATTTGAGGTACAACTTGATTTGTTTTGCTACAAAATGACACCTCAACAGATTGTGTAGGCCTTCTGAATACATTTCTATACACTTTCAAAGTTGTAAAGTCCTTTTTGAATCACTCTGTATAATAAAAGCATATCTTATAGAAATAGGAGTAGGGATGTACACTGGATTAAAGTGATTCAAAATAGCAATGGCGACCTAATGTGAGCACGGTAATGAACATTTGGTGTTTCATAATATTTGGAGAATTTCTTGGAAAAATGAGGGACTATCAGCTCTTGAAGGACAAGTCTGCTCAACAGAATTACTGGACGAAATTCCGAGTAACTGAAGGTTCCATTTGACGTATACGCCACAACTGTCATTTTAACCTACCACACGGTGTTGAGCTGTTGTTGCACAAACTTCAGTCACTTTATAATCAACGTCTGGAAATAAACTAGTGACAGACAGGGGGGCCTAAGGCAAGCTGCATACCAAGAAGATTCTATTCCAACGCCCAGGAAACGCTGAACAAAATGTAGGCATCATATAGAGGTATAATACCGAAGAAAGAAGAAAGCGGAAGTAGAGTGTGAACACAGAAGGGAATAAAAAATTAGAAGTTTCCTCTTTCAGAAGCCTCTGCCGCCTTTATATGAAAGCCACTACCCTGATTGCTGGGCTCAAGCTTCACACAGCTTCTGCA